TTATAGTCCATTTTAAAAAACGATTTATTCTTGTTTAAGACTCTTTAATTCTAATTTTCACATAACATATAACATGTTTATGACCACAAGATTGAAGTACATTTTGGTATAATATTCTTACGTATCTTGGACTCTTTAATTCTATTTTTCACATAACATATAACATGTTTATGACCACAAAATTGAAGTACATTTTGGTATAATATTCTTACGTATCTTTAGTTTCAGACAATAAGATTCAAAAATCTTCTTTATTTACTGAGACTCCTTGAGTTATTGTTAAATAAAATGAGATAATCAATATAAAATGAATAGAGTATTAATAATCAAAAACATATGTAGGATTTTATTAGCTACTATTAAATAAAGAAATCTTTAATAAGAGGATCTTAATAGTTCAATTTATTGACTACCTGAATAAAAATTAAGTAAGTGAGGATTTCATTACTTATATAGTAATAAAAATTAGGGCCGATTTTTTTAGTGTACAAATTAAGAACCGTATTTACACCAAAATAGCAATATGATTCAATTTCAAATAAGTTAAAGTTGATTATACAAAACTATTTTTTTTATTAGTTAAGATACTATTTTTTCCATTAGAGCTTATAGGTCTGAATATTGCTCTCTTGAGTAATCAATCTTAGTTGTATTTTGAAGGTAAGGTTCGATCCCTTTCGTGTAATTAACTATAAAAAATATCTTTTAAAAAAAACATTTTAAGAGAAAACATTTTTTAAAATAAGCTGATTTTAGAAATTTAACTAAACAGATCAATAATAATAGTAAATCCGACCTAGCAGTAGTAGCAACAACAACAACAACCATCGAATAGTAGCCACCTAGTAATAGTATAGTAGTATAACCAATATGAGTTGTGCCGTAGTAGTGAATCTACTTCATCCTTACTCATAGGTCTCGGGTTTAAACCCTAGGTATAGAGAAAATCTTGTTTGGAGCGCCATCCCCAGATGGACCTTGCTGTGCACAATTCGAATTTGATTAGAGCTCTAAAGTGGACTATAAACACCGGATAGAAAACTGAAAAAGAAAAAGCATAGTAGTATAGATATCACACTTTCTAAATCTACAACTAACCAATTTGCACTATAAATACTTCACCATATGTAAGCAATAGATCACACAAAGCTTAATTAATTGTATAGAAAGAGAGGGAAAAAAGACAAATGATTGTTTCTACCATCTCTTGTCATTTGAGAAATGCTGAATCAACATTTTGGGGAAATAATTTTCTATCCTATAATTCTAATTCTATAGTAATCAAAATACCACATAGATATTCGCATGCCCCTTTAGGGAAAAAAGGAAGAGAGAAAGATATGAGTAAATTAAAAGTGAGTGTAGCAATGGTTGATTCTTCCAGCAGCAATTTTAAACGTCCATTGGCAAATTTTCACTCAACTGTTTGGGGAAATTATTTCCTCTCTTACACTCCTCAACTCACGGTATGACACACAATATACTCATTTTATATTCATGTTTTTATAATTTTTCTTGTCCTCGGAGTCAGGTTTATCCAAATTCTTTAAATTGGTTGATAGAATGAAGGCTAGAAAACACATCAATTTTTTTAGTTTTATACATGTACTATCATGCATACGAGTTTCCCTACATGATCTATCACCAATTATTTCTCGAAACACACTTTAACTATCATTTATTCATTTTTCCTACTACCTGAATGATGTTTGATCTTTCAAGCAAAAAGAAAAAGGAACAACTAATAATTACAGTAGGGTGTGTTTTGATAAATAGTTGATATAGTTCAGGTAGAAAATATGAGCACTTGATAATTTAGGTAGAAAATTCGCAAAAAACATGATATTTCAGGTGTGTTTTTGACCATTCACTTTATTTGATAAGTAAATAAAATATATTATCCAAAAAATATTTATACGTGATTTAGACAAACACTATAAGAAGATGTGGTGGGTAGAGTTTTGGGGTGGATCATGTTTTTCTTCGCATAAAAAAATTATTTTTCTTATTTTTAAGAAATTTGTATTTTTAAATTATTTTGTTAAGTATTTCGACTAATTAACCACACATGACAAAAAGTTAAAAATACTTTCCTTTTGCATCCTTTTGCACCAAACACATCTTCATGTAGTGCTATTTTAGTTTTGTATTAAGATAGTCATAAATAGTAAGGCTTAATTCTTGGTGCAGGAAATTAGTGTCGATGAAAAAATTGAACTTGAAGAGTTGAAAGAAAAAGTCAAGAAAATGCTGATTGAAATACCAAATAATTGTACACAAAAACTTGTCTTGATTGACACAATCCAACGACTGGGAGTTGCATATCATTTCAAAAATGAGATTAAGACATCCCTTCAGAATATTTTTGATGAGTCAGAACAAAGTAAAAATGAAGATGATGATGATCTTTACATTGTTGCTCTTCGTTTTCGACTAGTGAGACAACAAAGGCATTACATGTCTGCTGGTAACATTATTTCTTCTCTTATGTCCTATAAGAGATCACCTTAATTTTATTTCAACATTGTATGATTCTTTAATTAATTCTCTTATGATGCTGAATTAAATCAGATGTGTTCAAGAAATTCACAGACCATGACGGAAAGTTCAAGAAAAATCTTACTAAAGATGTTCAGGGATTAGTAAGTTTATATGAAGCAACACATCTACGAGTACACGATGAAGAGATTCTCGAAGAAGCTCTAACTTTTACCATCACTCATCTAGAGTCCATGGTCCCAAAATTGAGCAACTCACTCAAGGCCCATGTTAGGGAAGCCTTAAGCCAGCCCATTTATACAAATCTACCAAGGTTGTTAGCAAGAAAATACATAGGTATGTATGAGAAGATTGAATTGTGTAACGATTTGCTTTTGAAATTCGCGAAATTGGATTTCAATAATCTACAAAAGTTGTATCAAGGAGAGCTTGGCGAGCTTACAAGGTACAAACATTAATCTTATATCCTTGTCATTTATGTATATATAGTAAATGTTGAATTTTGTTGGGTTTTTTGTGAGTTTACTTCGATCTTCATACTTTGAACATCCTTAATGAAAATTCTAATTCCATCTTTGATCATATAGGTGGTGGAAAAATTTAGACTTCGCGAAGAAATTTCCATATGCAAGAGATAGAATGGTGGAGTGTTACTTTTGGGTAGCTGGTGTGTACATTGAACCTCAACATGGTCGTGCAAGAAAAATGATGACAAAATTACTCACTACATACGTCATTATTGATGACACGTATGATGCTTATGCAACTTATGACGAACTTGTGGCTTTCACAAATGCAATCGTTAGGTAAAATATAAACTTATGCATTTTTTTCTCACGCGTTCAATGATGACTAGGGAAATAAAATGTGCCAAGTACATGTTACTAATATGAGATTATTTGTATAAATAAGAAATTTTAGCTTGTGACTTCAATCTAAAATCTTAACATGCAGATGTGATGACATTAGTGCCATTAATTCAGTATCACCCAATTTGAGACCTGTTTATCGAGCCCTTCTAGACCGTTATGATGAAATAGAAGAAGAATTGACCAAAGAAGATAAACTGGAATGTATCTACTATGCAAAACAAGAGGTAAGCTTCCTTAGCTTTATTTCTTTTGAATCAAAACATTAACAGTGCCATATAATATTACTTAATTAATTATGTCTTCAAATCGCTCCTTAGATGAAAGATTTGATCAAGTATGTGAAAAATCTTCATAGCGGTGAGACTTGAACCATGATCTGTGTCTGTGCTACGATGCCATGAGAATATATTGTGTGACTTGTGACCATCTTGTTCAAAAGTTCAATTTATTTTTTTAGTGAGAACACACTTTTATTTACTTAATTATGTCTTCAACAATCTCTAGTTCTACAATTATCTTTTATTCCTTTATTAGATGAAAAAAGTGGCTAGAGCATATCTCAAGGAAGCACTATGGTTAAATGATGTCTATATTCCAAAATGCGAGGAGTACATGAAAGTTGCAATTGTAAGTACTACTGTTATGATGGCTGCAACAACTTTCTTGTGTGTTATGGAGGAAAATATTACCAAAGAGACATTTGAATGGGTGATAAATGAGCCTTTGATTCTTCGAGCTTCATTAGTAATCGGCAGATTAAAGGACGATATTAATACAAATAATGTAAGTAGCTACGTGTTTAGATAAAATTACTAAAATTTGCAATAGGTAAGTAAATGGACCACTACAAAGAAGTTATGCTTCTTTTTTGTTCCTTTTTATTTATATTTTCTTAAGAGGGTTAAGTTAGTCCTCATGGGCGACCCGTGATCCAACTCCAACATATTGAAATCTACTTTTATGCGTGCAGTTCGAACAACAAAGAAGCCATGTAGCTTCATTCATTGAATGCTACATGAAAGAATATGGTGTTTCAAAGCAAGAGGCACGTGTTGAGGCTCGAAAGGAACTCACTAATGCATGGAAAGACATGAATGAAGAATTCCTCCGCTCTTCTGAAGTACCAACATTTGTCCTCGAACAAGTTATAAATTTTGCACGCTTGGCATATATTTTCAAAGAGGGTGATTTTATAAATACCCGAAGCGAATTTAAGAACATGATTACCTTGTTGTTTGTTGAACCTGTCAATATTATGTTCGAGGATAAATGTTGAGTAAAACATGGTTTGATCGAGTAGTTGCAATGTACTTACATATGAGTGAATGGTGAAAAATGGTGTGTTGATTTCTATTCATTGATGTTTTAAAGCCTTTTTGTTCTCATTTCTTTCCATAGAAATTGAAGGAAAAACACTACATAAAAAATGATCATTACTAGTAATTAATTAACAATAATAATTTAATTGTTGCTAAATATGTATTTTAGCGGCAATTAACCACTCTTTGTATATGTTTCTAATGCCTTTAGCGACATTGGTTATAATGACACTTAACTAATGCTGGTAAAGATTTTAGCACTCTTTATTAATATCTATTTATTGTCGCTAAAAGTTTTTTTTTGTTGTAGTGAAAATATAAGCAAATAAAGCTTCCATCGTAACCTGCTACAACAATTTTATTTTGTTTACTACCGACTGTTCAATATTGGTGGTCCAATTAAATTTCAATTTATATTGAAAAGTTTCACATTTAGAGTAAAAAACTTCCGAATAAAGGTAATTTCATATTGAAGACTAAAATACGAGATTTAATTTTATTAAATATGAAGAAATGTTTATCACTCTACTCCAGTTCCTAGCTTCCTAGTTAAATTGACCTTATATAGCTATCGTTTGACTATAGATTTTAGGGCAAATCACATAAATCCCACTAGTTTAGATCTTAATAACTAAGATTCCCAATAGTTTCAAATATTACTTCCTCTACCATATTTCATGATTAGGACACATGAGTCTGAATCCATGAGATACATGTATCTGTCGAATTTTAAAATTGAGATACAAAATTTATTTATTTAAATTAATTGGTTGTAACTTATTTCCTTAATTAGAGGAGTAATTGAGGATTTTCAAAATACATAAATAATTAATTTCATTTTATTATTCTTTGAAATAGTAAATTCATTAATATTATTAATATAAGATAAAAACATGTATATCTTGGTAATGTAATTTGATTAATTTCAAATTATTACTCTTAAAATAATAAATTCATTAATTTGATGTATCTATTATCAATATATGATGTATCCAACAAACTAAACATTTAGATATATGAGTGTCATACAAGTACATTCATATGTATCATAGAAGTATCTAGCATTAATTTCATGTATTTGTTATA